TTCCAGAATTGAAAGGTGTCTTGCTTTTATATTTATAATAAAAAAAATCAAAATTATCACGTGAAGGATTTGTGGTCACTTTGAATTTCAGTGTCTTTTGCCAATCGCTTTATACTAAGGTATCCATGAATGTCGAAATGTAATGATTACGACATCTCGTTTCACTGTTCGGCACGATAAAAACAAAACATTTTGGTTGAAGCTGGCGTTATTGATTTTGCCCACTTTCTCTTTTTCTGCGTATGGAGCATGGTTTAACGAGCTGTTATTGGATAACACCATACGAGTAGTACATACTGCCTGAGTGAAGACAGTTTCATTTAATAGTTATCTATGTAAGCACGTCTTGAAATATGATTATGGACTTATGTATATAACTATGTACACTCGTGGACAAAAGAATAGCATCAAGTTTGGAACTTATGTTTTTTTTTAATTTTAATTTAAAATATACCCTTGTTATTGATTAAGTTAAGAGACAGTTTGGCCAGTTTTGACTATTTTTTACCTTTTTTACCTTATTACCTTATTACCTTACTTTTATTAGCTCGGGATGTAACTATGTAATATTGCCTAAAAGATGCAGCGATTTCTATTCTCAAGTTACATACCTGATGACAGTACGAATGGCAATTATAATAGGGAGGTTTTAATTTTTTAAACTGTAATTTTATTCATTTGTTTATTTAATGTTTATATAAGTATTTTTTATAAAAATCTAGCACATTACTATACTGCGGATATTTATGCGGAAAATTAAACCTAAAAATATCTACCTACACTTTATACACTACGGCGATTCATCTAAAGCCTTGTAACGACGTAAACCCCGTAAGATTACTTAATTTTGTCTGGAATACCCATAATGTGTTTATATTTACCGACTGTCTTCCACGCAGTTCTTAAAAGATCGCTCGACGACCTAAAATTGGCAGCTATAACTTCAACCATTTATAAACTATTGCTGTTTTTCCACAATCATTTTTTATAAAAAACGGCGTCAAGTACAATACAAATTGTTTAATATTATCATATTACATAGAATTGGATTTTAATTAAATTATTCCTTTCGTTTTTTTTTTTAATATTGTACAAAGTTTGAAACTTGGATTTATACGGTTTTCGTTAAAGTGGGAACAATATATTATAAAACAATAACTCAAATTAAATAACAAATAAAATAAACAAATTGTGAAAACTTGGCAAAATTTTTGCGACTAAAATTTGTTCGACCACTGTATTTATGTTAATATTATATAAACATTTTTTATTCTTTGTTTGTTAACTAACTTTATAAAAGTTTGGTTTTGTTTATGAATACATAATAATAAAATAAACAGAAAGACCCGCAATATATCAAAATAGATACAATTTCGTTTTGTAAATAAAGAGTTATCTGAATGATATCTGGAGATGAGTGGGGAATGTTACGTAATTTCGGGCAAAATCGGGTAATTCTCAAAAATGAGTTGGTTACCCTGATAAACATCCACCGTCTACATATAAAGGGCCCTACACACG